AAAAAAAATAGTTTTAAATTATAATATAGCCACAAAAAAATAGTTTTAAATTTATTTCTTTACACTAAGAAATGAAAGAAAAAAATAAAATAAGAATAAGAAACTCAAATAATTATAATAAAAGAAGTCAAAACATAATTTATGTATGAAAAAGATTAAAATATACCTTGAACTTTGCTAGAAGAATCATATATACCCCTAAATAATTTTTAAGAGAATTAAAAGTCAAAAATATAAATTTAAAACTAACTTTTTCACTTCCTTTAAATGAAGGGTATATGTGAGCTCATTTTGTAACGGTAGGGGTATATGTGAGCCGTTTATATAACGGTAAGGGTATATATGAGCCACTTTCATAACAAGGGTCATATCAGCTCCAAATGGTAAAGTTGAGGGGTATATCAGGCCTTTTTCCCTTAAAATAATAGATTGGTTCAGAAAATGAGTAATTTTAAAATTTGTGGCAGATATAGTTATGTGATGATTTTATACGTGTGACAACCTACTTGTATTTTTCTAGACCTTTTTTGGCATATATATCTTGGCCTTCTATTGCTTTTTGTAATATATAAAAAAACATCACTATGTTATTTTTTGTCACGAATAATTAGTTTTATGACATATAATTAAGTACAATGTGATAAAAATTGGATGATCATCCACGAAATGATTCTTTAAAAATGCAACAAGGTATGCTTTAGTTTAGTTTATATATATAGCAAAAATTCATGTTCATAATTTATGTTTATTTGCACTTCTTGCAGATGGAGGATGGATGCTGTATAAATGTACATGATATTGTAAAGGCCATCCAAATCAACATCCTGGACCTCGTAAATGATTAAAACACACATTTTAAATTACCTATATGTATAATTAATTGAGAGATCTTTTGCAGATTAATATGGGATACTCAATTAAATTCCTCTTAGTAATATGTATTTTTCTTTATGGCAAAATTCCTTATATACACTGGACGAATAATTAATTTACTTAAGTTTGGGATTCATTTTCTATTTGTTTTTTTGTTTAGTATTTGGTGTTTGGTGTTCGTTTTGGTCCCTACTAATTCGGGTTGTGCGGAGGGAAAGTGCTCCTAATCTGTTTTTCAAATTTGAATATAACTTTAAAAATGAAAAGTAAGTTGAAAAATAACTTATAATCTATTTTTCAAATTGAATTTAAAATTTTCACATCTAAATACTAATTTTCAAATAATTAAAGTGTAAATTATTTCTAAAAAAGAATAATTTTTTATGACCAAATCAACCTTATCAAACCGACCAGGAAAAACCTACTGTGTAAGTGTATTAATTAGGGGCTCCATGGTCGGTGAACTAGTTTTTTAATTGTCATTTCACAACAAATCGACCTGTTTTTTTTTAATTATTACTAATCCCACGCCTTAGGATTGGTGGAAATTCTGTTACTGTTAGTATTAATTAATTAATTAATTAATTAAACTTTGATTAATTATCTTGTTTTATTTACAATCTCCTATGCTTCTAGGGCTCATTTATAGCACGTGGATGAAAACATGGTCAAAGAGGACAGGAAAGTGGCAAAATAATGGTAAAGTACAATCTTGTGCTTGATGAATTCATGTTAATTTAATGGAATAGAAAAGTTGATGCGCAGGAGAATCTATTACACTAAATTAAATTAGATACCAATTACTGTACTCAAATAAAATTTTGTTTTGTTTTTAAAAAAAATAATCAAATTATCTATCTCAATATTTAGAGTGAAGTGTCAAAAACATACTTAAATTATCATTTATTAATTTGAGAAATTTGTCTTCAAATAATTGCTATTAGAAGTAATTATGTTTATTGAAAAAGAAGATGTATAGTTCCCTTATCAAACTTCACATGTTTCTAATATCGAAATCTCGATAGTTATCTTGAATAAATATAGATGAGGATAATAATATATGCTAATAAACTATTTTTAAAATTTACTTTAGAATTATGAAACACACATTTTATTGTTCACGATATTTCAACATTGATTAGCACAAAGAAAGCAAGCCAAAAAATGATATAAGATGTATGAAACCACATATTAAATTACTCCAATGCGATAAAAAATGCTATGTCGATTTCTTTTAACAGGAAAGCTCAACTCAGGAATGAAAGCATCGCTAAGGCCTTTCTTGTTTCTCCAATCTCTTCTACGTCTAGAACGTTATCTAGAACAAGAGTCATAGTTGTTGTTTCCTCCTCATTGTTGATACTGATGAGGCAAGTGTTCTTGAAGAGAAAATAATCATAATGGAAAAAATGTAATGAAAATTCTAAAATCGAGATGTTAGAACTTAGATTTTCTCACTTCATCAACGTAACTCACCTTATGTATATTCACGTGACACCACTAAAAAAGAAATACTACTACCATTTTTTAACCCACTTTAAAATAATAGATTGGTTCAGAAAATGTTTTTTTTTAAAAAAAAAAATTTAATATCATCACATAGATATATGTAAGTTGAATTGTTTATAGAGAATAGTTACGTGATGATTTTATACGTGTGACAATATACTTGTACCGGAGCCTAAAGGGCAGAAAAATTTGACAAAAATTCCAAAAGGGCACATCAATTTTTTTTTAACCAAAAGGGAAAATCGCTCTTGACGTAGCGATTTTCTTCTGACGTCGTTATTCCGTTAAAAGAATCAAAATCGCTGACCTACCAGCGATTTTGTCCAAAATTTTTTTTCCTATTTTTAAGAAGATCGCTGCCCATGCAGTGTTTTTCGCGAAATTTTCTTTTTAAAAAAATATTTTTAAAATAAAATTAGCAGCGATTTTCTTTCAGAGAATTTTTAAAAAATTGAAAATCACCCCAAAGGTAGCGATTTTAGTAAAAAAAAAATTATCTTATTTTATTTTTAATTTTTTAAATCACGAAAAATGCTGCACCGACATCGATCTTCTTAAAAAAATAGGATAAATTTTTTTGGAAAAAATCACTGGTAGGTCAGCGATTTTGATTCTTTTAACGAAGTAACGGCGTTAGAAGAAAATCACTACGTCACGAGAGATTTTGTCCTTTTGGTTAAAAAAAATTGATGTGCCCTTTTGGAATTTTTGGCAATTTTTTTTTATCTTCAGGCTTCGGAATAATAGTTTTCTACACCTTATTTAGCATATATATTGTGGTCATATTTTGCTTTCCGTAATACAAAACATCATTGAGTTATTTTTATCGCGAATATTAGTTTTATGACATGTAAGTACAACATAATAAAAATTGAATGACCATCCACGAAATTATTCTTAAAAAAAATGTAACAAGGTGCATAATCTGGATCAAAAGATAATCTAGATATACAATGATTACTCTCAGCTCATTTCCTTGTTGTTCCATTAGTGACATCTCGCTTCATCTGAGTACTCATACGATGAATACAATGCAATGCTCGTGCCTAAAAATACGAAAGAGATAAAAATAGAGAAAAGTAAAAAATATATATATATATTAAAGCGTAATAAATCATGTAGTAATTGTCTAAAGCAATTAAATTTGTATTTACCAATGCCTCGTGTCGACCATCATATGATTGGTAACCTCTGTCAGCCTCTTGCACGAGATTCTCATTCAGCGTGTGTGTGATCCTCCTATACCAAATCATGTAAGAAACACTCTCCAGGATGATATCATGCATAGTGACGCCTTTGAATTATTTTTAGCATTCCACAATGCAATATGTTCTTTCATAAAAATAGGTCGTGTTGAACAGTTATCGAACAAAAAATATGAATTCTGCCATGCAACATCCGGTGAAATATCTTATCGAAGTTCAAACTGACGTAATACGCAACTGGATCATGATGCTCTACTATGTTTAGACAAATAAGTGGAACTGAAGTACACCACACATTGAGCCTCAATGAGCACCGTGCTGGTAAATCAGCTATCACAGTCTCATCATACGGTTGCCAAATGAACTATTAAATCAAAATGATAGTTAGTTAAGTATCTATTGAAAAAATAATAACATGCAATGAAACAAAGTATAATTGCGAGGATTGAACTTACTATTGATTATGTTTCATAGCATCAAATTGATCTCTATACAACATAAGAAAATGGTTGGGGTTGGTTGTCACACCTCTCATTCACTTCTAGAGGCAAGGATTAGGTTTTATAGGTAATAATCTCTCCCAAACTCATATCTTCAACAAAAATGGTGATAAAAAATGCTCAATATAAAGTAAAGTATTTACAATTAAACTAGCAAACAAAAGAACTCAACAATTTCCTATTTATATTATCATACTAATTTATCTAAACCTCATTCGTTTTCACAAGTAGATATCAAAACAAACAAATTATATTTTTCTAATTAAATGAATAAGAAAATAATTCAAATGTTTCCTAACTAATTCATCAATTTAGAAAATAATAAAACAAACAAATCAATTAAACTTTTAGCTGTGCAAGTCAATTTTGCTAATTCGTATATTTATGATTCATTGTAAAATTAATTCAAAAATTCAATGATTTATTATAGAGGTGTCAAATGAGCGGGTTGAGTTGTAATTGGATATATTAAAATGAGTTGAAATGAAAATTGGGTTAGGTAGTGACCCCCCAAGTTTACTTTAGGCTCAGATTGGTTAAAAACGGATTGAATTATAACCAACCCAATTTGACCCCATTAATCTCAATCATTTTAACATATTGTTATTTAGTAATTTTTATAACCACAATTTGAATTTTAAGTCAAGAAATTATTTTTAAAAAAGTTATCTACCCAATTTGACCCCCTTAATTTCAACTTATTTCTGTTTTAAGCAAAAGAAAATAATAAATTTTATTAAAGAAAATAATGAAAATAGTGTTAGCATGGATCGTTTCAATCAAGTGAAAAATATTAAGGAATAAAATGAACACATTAACTATATATTAAGGACAATTTCAATCAAGTAAAATACATTAAGGACCAAAATAAAACATTATACATATATTAAAGATTATTTCGGTCATTTTCTCTACCTTTGTCATCAAAAATTACTATGTACTTTTTTTTAGTTCGTCCCCATCTCCTAGGTCACTTCATTAATAGAAGAAGCGAAAAATAAAGTTCTTGAGATATAAACTTCATTAATGAGAACTTTATTAAAGTTCTTGAGATATAAAAGAGAAATATAAACTTTCCTCAACTATAAAATATAGTGCGGCGGATCCCCAGTTGAACGTTACAGTCTTGTCTACATCCTCTATCAATGGCAGAAACTCCAAATTAATCTTGAGATCTGAAATATTGGAGAAGATGATACCACCGATCATCCATAAGATGTATAGGTGATATCTCTTATGCACCTCCTTGTCGGGATGATCATCGATAAGATTTTCTAATCTATCTAAATAGTCATGAATAGCACTTAACTTCAACTTGCCAACTTTCAATTGAGTATTCTAGGGTCAAAAGTCAGTCAGACGCTCCATCTCATCCTTCCACTAAACATATGTTTGTCGTCATTGAACTATAGAATGCACTACTGTTTCATCCACCAGAAGCACGTACATGATCTTAACGTATAGTGTAATGGTCGCCTTATCACTACGGGAGTGAAAGGTATGCTCAATCATATGTCATCTTACTAACTGCATGCAACCCCTAAATATCGATCTATACAAGTATTGGAGGATGCGATTGTGAGGCGGATGATCTAGCATGTGCTGCCTAATAAAAAACTATCTGAGCAGCGACCACAAACTACATCATTATACCATGATCATTCTCCCAAATATAATGTGATCTATGACTATGTGTGGACATGTGTTGGAGCGTGAGCACACTAGGATCAATCGGATTAAGTAGAGTATCTGAATGTATCATCCAAAATATACCTACAATAAAATCTTACTAAATTAACATAGGTGAAACTATAAAATATTATTATTTTGTAGATGTATTATTTAATTGATAAAATAATATTTATTAATTTAAAGAGTCTTTT